TGTGGGCGATGTTTTGATGGGGTAACCGCCACCCGCCGGTCGCGACCAGTCACCACGACCATCGCCGGCCACCACCCCATTCAGGTTAGCGACCAAATTGGCTTTTGCGATTGCAAATTTCAGGGGTCGATTCCGATATCCCGCCGCATCGTCCCATTTGATTTTGAGCCCGATCCCAGGAGGTCGCGGTTGCACCATTCCCCCGCATCTACAACATCCACCAGTATAGATGTTTGCAGATCCACCATGGGCCGCGAATACCATGCCCGCGACATTTTTTGTGTCAACCCCGCGTTCCAGGTGTTGATTTGCCAGAAATGCCAATGTGCAGTACGACCAGGACAGGTCAAGGCCCATTTAATCAGTACCGCTCATCGCATTCCCATGGGGTGGGCCCAGCACATTCACAGCGTCATTCAGCAGTGGGATCACATCGACGAGCAGCCCCAGGTCGACCGTTGGCCCCATCAGATGGACGAGCCCATCCCCGAGTTACCCGTTTATCAGGATGGACTCATATGTCGGTTCTGCGACCAATACACATGTCGTCAGATCGATGTGATGAAGAAACATTGGGCAAGGCCCATGACTATCGTGTGTATGAGGGCCGTGGTCGCCCCACGCCCACCCAGATTCGAGCCATCCAGGGCCGCATTGAAGCCCACTGCTGGACCGTTTCATGCCAACGGTTGTTTAAGCAAGGGCCCGGGTCCCATTATATTTGCGTGGGACAGCCAGACCCCGCAGTGCCCGTGAATCCCGTTCCCGACGCCGATGCCATCCGCCAGCTATTGCACACCGTGTCGGAGTATCAGCAGGAAGATCAACAGGCCCAGGACACCATCATCCAGGCCGGCGATTTAGACGAAGCCACGCCATGGTTGAATCGGACGGGATGGGTCCGGTATTTACAAGGGGTCCCCCGCCAGCCATTGGTCGAGAGCACCCGGCGCCCCAAGGAAAATATCGAGGGACCGGAGCGCGCCGCATTCGTGATTTGGCAGGCCATTGAACGATTAGCGCATGTGAGCCAGGAGATTGCCAAGGCGTGTGGTCATTTATTGCGGATCGAAGTCGTCCGCACCACCAAGGACGAGAGCCCGCACAAGCCATTGTTGGCATATTTGGATGCCGCCGCCATTGCAAAGCATGTGGCGCCGTGGCAGCACATTTTGATGTTTTTTGCGCGGACCCAGGTACGTTGTGTTCAGTGAGGGTGTGCCCAGAGCATCGTGTGGGTATGCCAATGCTCCCGTCCACCGGCGGAGAGATATATTGCCGCGTTGTGGATATTCCACCGGGGTGACCAGCCCGGCCCGACCCGCACCGTCGACAACCCAATTCCCACCACAACCCATGTCCATTCCGGACCGACCATATTAACCAGCACAGGTCGAACACGATTGGGAGTCCCCCCATATTCATTCACCGAGCGCCAGCAGCAGTCGTGGGATACCGTGTGGCATTATGCGCAAGCCCGTGCCGGTAGCCCCGACCCCGGCGACGAGGAGGACGAGCCCGAGCCGTTTGAGATCCGCCCCATCGAGAATGCATTGCTGAATTTTTGCATCGATTTGTTACGCCAGGAGATCCGGAACGATGAATACGGGTGTGCCATGGTTTGTGCCACGGCCGTCATCGGTTACAGTGAGGTCGGTTGGGCCACCCCCCAGAGTTTCCCACCGCAGATATCCAGTTTGATCAAGATCACGCGGTTTTTCATTTTACACAAAGCGTTGCGGTTGGACCCGAATTCGGAGGAGATCCGCCGTCGATTGGCCGGGCGGCAGGACCACCAGTGGGTCGAGGGCGACATGATCGAGTTTGACGACGCATATGCATACGAGGACGAGGGATACACGAGCGCCCCGTCCACCCCCATGGCCATGCGGAGTTCCCCACCCCCGACCCGCGACGACATGATCGGGCGATTCACCCAGGAGCAGCGCCGGCACCCCACGCGCACGTTCGCCAAATGGGTCAAGTATTTGGTGGATTTGTTCATGGTCCGTGGCACCAACGGTCCCGTCCAGTGGTGGATGGATTTGCGCACGTACGGCAGGACGATCCACATGAACACGCCCACCGAGGGCCACGTGGGGTGGAAGTCGGGCGATGAGTTGTTGTACAAGCAGTTCCATTTCACCATGGGCGATTTCCGCGGATTCGTCCATGGGTTGGTCCACCAGATGCGACAGCGGGTCGTGTCCGAGTTGCTGTTTTGTCATGATCTGGATCAGCCGCCGCCCGCCATCCCGTGGGACGCGTTGTATGATGATGCCACGCAGAGTGCGCCCGGATGGAGCTTTTTGCAGGATTTACGCACCCAGTGGCCCGTCGCCGGGCGGACGTGGTTGCTGAAGCGGGTGAGCCAGGAGCCCAAGTTGCGGCGGCGGTTCATCCAGACCGACGGGAGCGGGTTCCGGATGCCGGCCATCGATCGATTTTTCCGGGTGGTGGCCCAGTTCCGGGAGCAATTGAGTGTCGCCGTGCATGTTTGTGCCGGCCAGCCCAGCCGGGGCCCCGAGTTGATGAGCATCCGCCACCGCAACAGCGAGCGCGAGCGCCGCAACGTGTTCATCGAGGATGGCATGGTCACATTCGTCAGCCGATACCACAAGGGTTTCCACGTGAACAACGACACCAAGGTTATTTTCCGATATGTGCCGCGGGAGATTGGCGAGTTGGTGGTGTGGTATTTGTGGTTGGTGTTGCCGTTCGTCGAGCAGATGCAGTCATACCAACGGCATGTCCGGGGGAGCCCGCCACCGTGGGCCGTCGGGCCGAGTATATATGGTCCCCCGACCCCGATCGGCACACCGAATGGAGTGGGGACCGGTTTCGTGCGGTGTTACAACGGGAGACCGCCCATGGATTGCGCGGACAGCGATTAGGGTTACAGGCGTACCGCGACATCGCCATCGCCATCAGCCGGCGGTATTTACGCCCGAGCAGCCAGTTCAAGAACAATGTCGAGGAGGAAGCCGACGACATTGACGACGACAGCAAGATGGACGACGAGGGCATGCGGGCATTCATCGCCGACATCCAGGCCGCGCATTCCGCCAGCATCGCCGGGATGAACTACGGCCGCATGTTGATGGAGAACCCCAACAGCACGGCGCGGCACCGCGAGTTGTTCCGGGCCGTGAGCCACGATTGGCACCATTTTTTGGAATTCCCGTCCGCCGTGGAGCAGCAGCGCCGCCGAGCCCCGGGGATCACGCGGAAGCCCAACCCGTGGGAAGACGCCGCGGCCGAGGCCCGCATCCAGCGCCGATATGACTTGCATCAGACCAACATGGCCGAGGCGTTCCAGAACATGATGGGCAGCACCGCGATGACATTGCGCGGACCGCAGGGCCCCGTGTTGCAGGCGATCAAGCACGGCGACAGTTGCATCGTGGCCGTGATGCCCACCGGGGGCGGCAAAAGTGCGTTGTTCATGTTGCCCGCGTGGGTGAGTGGCCGGGCCGGATTGACCATCGTCGTCGTGCCATTGACGGCATTACGGAGTGATATGATGGCGCGATGTCGGGATTTGGGCATTGCATGTGCCGCGTGGGATCCCCAGCGTCCGCCGGACGGGGCGTCCATTGTGTTGGTCACGCCCGAGGCCACCCCCAACGAGGCATTTGTGAAGTTCGTCAACCGGCAGCGGGTGTCCCAGCGGCTGGACCGCATCGTGATCGACGAGTGCCATGTGGTATTGAGTCGCAACCCGGATTTCCGGCCATTATTGCAGCAAATGGGCGCGTTGCGGGCCGCGACCACCCAGATGGTGTTGTTGACGGCGACATTGCCCCCCGCGAGGAGCAGACGTTGTGGGATCGCATGGGGTGGCAGCGGGACCAGGTCAGTCTGCACCGCAGTCCCACCAGCCGGCACAACATCGCGTATCGCGTGCACACCATCCCCGTCGACGACGCATATGACGAGCAGTTCCAGTGGGTGGAGATGCCCCGGGTGATCCGGTTCATCCAGGACCGCATGCGACGGGCATACCCCGGGCGGGTGATCGTGTATGGCACCGTCCAGTCGCATGTCACGCGGGTGGCCGAGCAGTTGGGGTGCCCGGCATTTTACCGCAACGCGGTCGACAAAGATGGGATGTTGGAAACGTTCCGCCACCAGCCCGGGGCCGTCATCGTCGCCACCAGTGCGTTGGGCATGGGCATCGACATTCCGGACATCCGCAGTGTGATCCACGTGGGCCAGCCGCGGAACATGTTGGATTATGCGCAGGAGAGTGGCCGGGCCGGTCGTGATGGGCAGCCCAGCGAGGCCATCATCGTGCAGGCCGAGGGCCGGACGATGGGCCGGGAGATCCGTCCGTATTGGATGAACGATGCCCCCGAGGCCGAGCATACGCAGGTGGTCGAGTATATGGACCGCGGCGCGATTGGGTGCCGGCGGGTGATATTGGATGCATATTTGGATGGGGAGATTGGCGGATACCAGCGCCAGCGATGCGGGGACACGGTGCCGGAGTCGGTGTGTGATGGACATGGATGCCAGCCCGATTGGGAGGACCACGAGTCGCGGATGGGGTCGTCGTCCCCGGCGGAGGCGGAGGCGATGGATGAGGATATTGAGATGGTTGACGGAGATGAAGGCATGCCGGATGACATTGCGCCCCCCGTTGTGTCCGGGCCACCGATCGTTTCCACGCGCATGTCCGAGGTGGCATGCAGCAGTGATAGTGTGAGGATTGTGTCCCAGGTGCCATGCAGCAGTGATAGTGAGAGGATTGCGTCCCAAGTGGCATGCAGCAGTGATAGTGGGAGGATTGCGTCCCAAGTGGCATGCAGCAGTGATAGTGAGAGGATTGCGTCCCAAGCGGCATGCAGCAGTGATAGTGAGAGGATTGTGTCCCAGGTGCCATGCAGCAGTGATAGTGAGAGGATTGCGTCCCAAGTGGCATGCAGCAGTGATAGTGGGAGGATTGTGTCCCAGGTGCCATGCAGCAGTGATAGTGAGAGGATTGCGTCCCAAGTGGCATGCAGCAGTGATAGTGGGAGGATTGCGTCCCAAGTGGCATGCAGCAGTGATAGTGAGAGGATTGTGTCCCAAGTGCCATTTATATCACCAGCCGCAGCGAGGACGGCACCAGCAGCAGCGAGGACAGCACCACCCACGACCCCCAGGGTCGAGCCCACATCCATTCCCGCCAGCACACCCCGAACCATCCCGACGGACATCCGACACCAATTCCGGCAGCAGGACATTGAGCGCGCCCACATCGCGCAGCGGCATCACGGTCCGGCCGGGCCCCGATTCGACGACGAAGCGTTTTTGGTCAGTGAGGTCGAGAAGTGGGTGCATCGGTGTTGGACATGCACGCAGAGGGGATATGATGATGCGCATGAGATGTGGCGTTGTGGGTTTACCGGGGCCGGGGGAGCCAGCAGGGAAATCCAGGCGAATAAGGATTGGATGAAGATGGTCCGCGGGAAGGTCCAGTATGCCAATTATACCGCACATTTCCCGTGTGGCATGCCGCAGCACATATGTCCATTGGGTGATCATCACGCGGACCATAGCGAGGAGGTCCAAGAACGGTGTCGAGGATACCGCACCGTGTTGATTCCGATGGTGGCCATGATGGGCAAGGGGCCGCAGCGAGATGCGGAGGTCACGCAGCGATGGTACCAGCGATTGGCGTCGCGCGGGGTGGTGGATCCAGAGCGGAATGATGAAGGGTTGATTCAGTATTTCGGACAGCGCGCGCCGGGGACGGCGCAGAAACGGTCGCAATTGACGGAGGAGTTTATTTGGTTACGGCGGGCATATGATGGACGGGAGAGGTGCAGTGATTAGACGTGGGTCATGTTGATGGCATCATGTGGGCGTTTCACAAGGGTTGTTTTACCATTAGGAATATATGCAAGATGATTTTCATATATATATATTCCAGTCCATGATTGGCAATCGCCCGAGTATCAGTTTTCGCAGTCCCAGCAGCGGTTGTGGAATATTGTGTGGCGTCATGCGAGGCCCGGCCACGCAGCCCCGATCCCACGGACACCGTCGATGCCGAGCCATTTCAGTTACAGCCCATTGAGGTGGCATGGTTGGAGTTTTGTATCGAGTTGATCCGCCAAAAGATCCGCAACGACGAATATGGATGCGCGTTCATATGTGCCACCGCCGTGTTGGGATACAATGAGTCCGTGTGGGCCCCCCCCCCCCGTCCCCCCCAGATATACAGTATTTTGAAGATCGTCCGGTTTTTGATTTCGCACAAAGCGTTACGATTTGATCCCCGGTCATTAGAGATTCGGCAAGGGTTCCTGAGCCGCGGTGGCCCGCGGTGGATGACCGGCGATATGAGTCGAGTTGGGGGGTTATAGCCGCCACGCGCCGAGAGTGATGAGAGCGCGGGGCCCCATCATCCATGCCCACGAAGAGGAGCAGGCGCGGCATCCCACCCGGACATTCCCCGAATGGGTGAAGTATTTCGTTGACATGTTCATGGTCCGTGACACCAGTGGGTCCATCCAGTGGTTGATCGATTTGCGTACATACGGCCGGGTCAACAACACGCCCGTGGAAGGCCAGATTGAGTGGAAATCCGGGGATGAGTTATGGTATAAGCAGATCCATTTCACCATGGGCGATTCAATGTGAGTCCGCATGCCCGCATACATGTCGAGGAGCCAGATATATATATTCATGCATCCCACCGGCGAACCCCCGCCCACATTCCATCGATCCATTAACCATCCCAGATCCCCCATGATTGGCAATCGCCCAACCAGCAGCGGTTGTAGAATATTGTGTGGCGTCATGCGAGGCCGCGGCACCAGCGGGCCCATCCAGTGGTTGATCAATTTGCGTACATACGGCCGGGTCACCAACACGCCCGTGGAAGGCCAGATTGAATGGCAATCCGGGGATGAGTTATGGTAGAAGCAGATCCATTCACCATGGGCGATTTCCGTGGATTCGTGCATGGGTTGGTGGGGAAGACGTGCCCGACATTGGTTGGGCAGTTGATGTTTGCCCGCCGGGCGCCCATTATTCCATGGGATCATTTACACGACGACGCCAGCCAGGGTGGAATTCATCCAGGACCCCGCACGCAGTGGCCGGTCAATGGATCGGAGTGGTGATCCAGCGGTTGTGCCGTGAGGGCCATTACGCCGGCAGTTCATCACGCCCGAGGGCCGGGGGATCGATCAGTATTCCGCGTTGTTCGTCAATCCGGGAGATGTTGAGCGTGGGCATCCACGTATGTGCCGGGCAACCCAGACGTGCCCCCGAATTGTTGAGTATTCGACAGCGAGCGAGAGCGCCGGAATGGGTTCATTGATGATGGGATGGTGATGTTTGTCAGCCGATATCACAAGGGTTCCATATCAACAATGACACCAGGTGATTTGCCGATATATCCCGCGGGAGTTGGTGTTGCCGTTTATCGAGGCCATGCAGTCATATCAGCGAGGGTTCCGTGGGCAGCCCGCCACCACCGAGCGACGCGCCGATTACATTTGGTCCCCGACCCCGAAAACCAGAAGGAGTGGAGTTCCCCGATTCGGGAGATATTGAAGGCACCAACCCGCACGGGGTTACATGGCACCGCGATCAACATCCAGGCATATCGGGAGATCGCCATTGCCATCAGCCGGCGGTATGGACGCGGGAGCAGCCAGTTCCGGTCCATCCAGAACGGCGAGAGCCCGATTGTCGCCGTGATGCCCACCGGGGGTGGCAACAGTGTATTATTCATGTGGCCCGTGTGGAAGTCGTGGCGGGATGACCATTGTGGTTTTGCCATTTTAATAGCATTACGATGGGACATGCAGCGCCGGTGCCAGGAGGTGGGGATTTCGTGTGCGGCGTGGGATCGCCAGCGGCCCCCCGATGGAGCGTCCATTATATTAGTGACGCCCGAGAGTGTGCCAAGTCATGAAGTCCGGAGATTCATGGACCGGCAGTGGATGTGGAAGCGGTTGGATCGGATGGTGATTGACGAGTGCCATGTTGTGTTGAGCCGGACCCCGAATTCCGCCCATTGGTCAAGGAATGAGGCCCGTTACGATCCGCGCAGACGCAGATGATATGTTAACCGCGACATTGCCCCCAGTGCGGAGCCCGAGTGTTGCCAGCGCATGGTATGTGGTATGGACCGACGGGGACGTGACATGGGATCGAGGACGTCCCCATCGCCCCATGTGGCATATCGGGTGCATACCGGGGCCCCCGGCCCAATTCAACAGCAGTCGCAGTGGGTGGATATGCCCGAGGGGATTGCATTCATCCAGGATCGGATCCGTCGCGCGCAACCCGGCCGGGTGATCATATATGGCACCGCCGTGGCCCATATCACCCGGATGGCCGAGTCATTAGGGTGTGCCGCATATCACCAGATGACAATCGACCGCGATGGTGTATTGCAAGCATTCCGGGACACGCCCAGCGCCGTCATCACCATCACCAACGCATTGGGCATTGGAATTGATATCCAGACAACCGGAGTGTCATTCATTCGGTCAGCCACGCACGATGTTCGATGACGCACAGGAGAGTGGCCGCGCGGGATGCGATGGGCAACCGAGCGAGGCCATGATCATCCAGGCCGACGGTCAAAGGGTTGGACGGGAGCAACGGCCGTTGGATGCAGGGTCATAGTGTGGCGGAGCATGTCGGTGTTGTGGAGTATATGGAGTGCGGTCCACGATTGCCGGCGTGTGGTGTTGGATACATATGTAGACGGGCACATTGATGGATCCCACCGGCAGCGTTGTGGCGATATCCACCCGAGTCATTATGTGATGGATGTGCGCCCGGATGGCAGGACCAGGAGCCCGTGATGACCGAGGCCATTAATATTGATCGTTCCCCCGTGGCATCCCAGTATATACCAGCCCCATTGCCGCCGGTGGAGAATGGCCGATGGATGCCCATCATACCACCGCCACCCCAGGTGTGTGATCAGAGTTATGAGGTTTCCATTATAGCCCATCGGCCCAGCAGCAGCAGTAGCCACAGCAGTGTCAGTTTGAGTTCGCCATTAGCACAAAGTACCCAGCCCATTGTGCGGCGGCATCAGAAGAGGCCATCCAGATCCATCATCGCGGGTAGGAAGCGATCATACGAGCATGAGCCCGAGTCACCACAAGCCGGCACCACCCATCCACCACCAGTATCCACGGCCGCCAAACCGGATAGGATCCCGATTGCCCATGGCATCGATTCCGAACGCAGGACATTAAACGTGCCCGTTTATCAGATCGACACCATGGCACGGCATCCCAGCGATATGAGGACGAGGCATATTTGGAGCAGGAGGTGGAAGGTTGGTTCCATCGTGGGATGCCGCAATACATATGCCCGCAGGCGGATCACACGACGGAGCATAGTCCGGCAGTACAGGATCGGTGTCAAGGGTTTCGGACAGTATTAATCCCGACGGTGGTGATGATGGTGAAGGGGCCATATGCAAATGTGGAGATATCGCAGCGGTAGTCCCAGCGGTTGGCCGCACAGGGGTCCGGAACGCGGAGCAGGACGACGAGGCGTTGATAGAATTTTGGACAGATGGTGCGGAATAGGGCACGGAAACGGGCGTAGATCACGGAGGAGTTGATTTGGTTGCGGCGGGCATATCAAGGGCGTGACGATGCAGGTAGATGTGGGTTCCGGTTGATGTTGACAGCGGTACCACGGATGGAAGCCATTGATCGAGATTCAGCAGGCCACGGAAGAAGATTTTCGAATTCGAATTCCATATGATTTTTTCAGACTTATCAGTAGGGGTTGTTCGATATTGAATCATGGCGATTTCCAGCCGAATCCCATGCACGGTGGAGAGCAGCCCAGATAGGCGATTTATACGATTTCACAGCAGTAAGGATTGGATTACAATTTAGCCAAAAGAATAGTTCAACGCGATCGATTATATATGATTCAGCCAGTGACGGACAGCAATATATATCGACCCCGGTCCAGCGAATGAAGGCAACAGCCACCCGCGGTATACATATTCGAAGGCCCGAGCACGGACACATTTGCAGTTTCCAGATATCAGAGCATAACGGAGATATTTCGGGGTTTTGGAGACGTGTTCAGGATTTGCGAGCAGTGTGTTCAGCGTTTTTAATATTACAGTTTGTTAGCATAGACATTTCGAGTGGTAATTCAGCCGTGTAGCAATTACCAGGGCGGATAAAACAGGTGTTAAGGGATCGATTATAGCGCATAGTGAGGGGTGTTGAGGGATTTAATATTGTGGATTGCCGGTTTCGCAGTCGGGTGGCCGTATTTGCCATGATTGGGAAGGTGGGAGTGATTGATTCAAATGAACATATAGTGGTCAATATCCGTGGATGTCAGGATTGTATTTCGGAAGGATAATGGCAGGGGGCAATCGAGGCATCACGATAGGAGGGATTGAGTGACGATATCCGGGAGGGTCAGTCGGATAGTGCAAGAGGCGAGATGATTGATATTAAAAGGGATATTCGTGAGTGCCGCAGCGGGAGGACGTATCGGCCGAAGACACGAGGACGGGTAAAAAGATCGAGGGGAAAGATTATGGGGGAGGGCCCGAGGGCGATAGTACGGACATTGTGGGAATTTGGGTTGGGTTGTGGTGTTGAGGTTTTAATCAATGTGTTCAGGGATATCGGTGTTGAGGGTTGTCGGGTGTTGAGGGTGTTTGATGGGTCGCCATTTCCAGCCGAATCCATGGGCGGCGGAATACAGCCCAGATAGCCGTTTTATACGATTTCACAGCCGTTAAGATTGGATTACAATTTAGCCGAAAGAATATTTCAGATACATTATCATTCGGACACGATCAACACGATCGATTA